AGACATGCATATTCAAATGAAACAACGTCAATGATCAAAGGAAAAGCATTACCAAAGAACGATAAAATGCACAACTTGAATCTCTCCTTGGATAAAGACGAAGTGCTCAAGGTAGAACGAAGACGACTTGACTTATCGCTCCCAAACTCATTCAAGCATCCAACTGTCATTCCAAGAGAACACCATATCACAAAGCTGATAATTGCTCACTGTCACGAGAGAGTTAGTCGTCAAGGAAAAGGATTCACAAAGAATGAAATATGGTCCAGTGGTTACTGGATCCCAAAATTAAGTGAAAGTCTCATCCTACATTTGTCAGTGTGTGCATTGTCTGAGTCTACGGAGACCTGTGGAAGGACAAAAAAAGAGTGACCTCCCCACTGAAAGAGTTGAATATTCTCCACCTTTCACATACTGCGGCATGGACGTTTTCAGCCAATTCATGACCAACAGGCAAGAAAAGAACACAAATGGTACGGTCTCATTTTCATGTTTCTGTTCACGAGCTGTACATGTAGAAATGTTAGAAGACCTGTCAACATATGCTTTTATTAATGGACTAAAGTGCTTTATTGCTTTTAGAGGCTCTGGCAGACAAATAAAATGTGATCAGGGTACTAATTTTGTTGGTGCCAAAAATTAACTGGATGCAGCAGATGCAGATGAAAGAAATGGTGACAAACTGACTATCTTTCTTGCTGAAAAACAGTGTGATTTTGTTCTTAACACACCTCATGCTAGTCACGCAGGTGGAGTATGGGAATGGCAAATACGGACTCAGGAACGTTCTCAATGCCACATTAGTTCTCATAAAAGGACGGCTCACTGACTCATCCCTCAGAACCTTCTTGTGCAAAGCAGCTGCAATAGTAAACAGCCGTCCACTGACAACGGACAGTCTCAGTGATCCAAACAGCTCGGAACCGCTGACCCCGAATCACCTTGTCACTATGAAAACCACAATAGCATTACCTCCTGCAGGACATTTGGTTAAAGAGGACTTGTATGCACAAAAACGCTGGCGTCAAGTACAGTATTTAGCAGAACAATTTTGGAGCAGATGGAGGACAGAATATCTTCACAACATCATGGTCCAGCAGCGATGGCACATGCCTAAAAGAAATATGCAGACAGGTGACGTAGTGATGGACAAGGATGAAACTCAACTGCGTTCCCAATGGAGACTTGGTAGAGTCTTAGACACTGTAACAGATTCAGATGGACTTGTGAGAAAGATTAAAATTGCCTTTGCGGACAGAAATCTCAGTAACAAGAGTGTACGTTTGCATAAAATGTCTATAGTGGAAAGCCCAGTTCACAAGTTAGTTCTACTGTTAGAAGGTTAAGAAAAGTAGTGTTACACAAGCTAAATGTACTGAAATTTTGAAGTTTTTACATGTTTACTATGTTGTTACTTTTGGTTACATTGAGAAATTATTTGTTTTTTATGTTGTGTTTGTAAACAGCAAATAATTTGATGGGAGTGTAAAGGTCAAGTTAGCTCTTATATACATTAACATACAGTCCGTGGCATTTAAGAGTAAGGTTACGCTTTTATTTTGGTGACTTCCTGTGTGAGTGGAAGTGAAGGTAAAAAATGTTAGCTTGGTTTATAGAAAAGACGCAAAGTAAACACAGCAACGTTAACGGTGAAAAACAAAAACAACGGTGAAAAGTTAGAGCAAAAAAAAACCCTAAAGATAACAACAGTCGACAGGGGAACAAGGTTTGTTTTATTTGTGAATATATATTTGAGCTTCTTATAATTCATATTGAATTAATGTTAAAATATGGATAACGGTTAAACTATGTTGTTCTTGTCTAGCTCTTACTTTGGTTCTATGACACGGCAAGGAAAAGATTAAAAGTAATTTAATCATCAGTCTCAATTCGACTGGATGCTACACCTGCCATTGTTTACTACGACAAATGTGGCAACTGTCAGGTGACTCAGCATTTATTTACATTATAACCTTTGCACTGACAGTCTTTTTACAGCCATATTATCACATCGTGTGGAAAATTGAAGCTGACATTTCCCTGATGAAGTCATGAGTGGCAGGCCTACAGCAGTTTGCCTCCAGCACAATGTGACGAATGCAGTTAGGTTAATATGAAAGGTGCAGTGTTGTAGTTGAAAAGTTTACAGGGCAGTTTCTGTAAATTTTCTATTAAAAAGAATTATGTAATCTTTCCTAGCCTTAATTGCTAGAGCTGAGTGTAGAATGAAATAATAATCACAATTAGCAATCAAGGATGAGATACATAATACATGTTTGTTGGCTACCTAGACACGGGTCGCACTAAATATTTATTATGTGCAAATAAAATGATAGCCTTAAACACTAAATGATGATGAGATTTTAAGATGAAATGCAGTACTAACAACAGAAGCCCTGAATGTATGTGTTGAAATTGAGACACACAAATAGACGTCTTACAAGATGTTGACAGGTGTCGGTTTCTCTACAAACATGTTTAAGTTTGAACTGGATCCAAGCACAAACTCATCTGTATTAAACAAATGACGGATAAGGTCCAGTTAATTAGAACATAAATATGACTGCTTATGTCATAGCTTACTGATAAGAAAGAAAATGCTCTTAAAATTGTACCTACACATTGCAAATGGTAAATGTGTAATGCTTTGGACAGGAAACTAATTTAAAATTAAGATTAAAGGTCATGCTTTAATGTCAGTAATAGTAGCTCTAACATATTGATGAAAAAGCAGGTCTAGTGCTTGTGATTATGTTGATGATGTTGTCTATGCATTAGTTACTTTATATAATTGATAAGAATGTTTGTTGTTTGTTTAAGACCCCAAATGTATTGTCTCAAAGGCCCATAGGGCTGAGCAGAGTTGATGATACAGCAGTAGTGCTGTCTTTTCTCCTCCAAATGAAACATGTTATGGACCTTAGTCATCTCAAGGTGATTATCTTCTCGGAGTGGCAAAGCTGTTTTACTGCTACATGACAACAAAGGTGGAGATCTACAGCCAATCCCCTCTCAGAGCCTCAGTATTATTAGTCAAACACTTGGCTCTAACCCGAAATGCTTAAGCTACAACAGCCTTCTCCTCAGTGAGCACTGGTGAGATTGTAGTCACTGCTTCGTGAGCACTTTTATAGCCAAACAAGTGTTGGGAAGAGGTCCTAAGCCCACAAACCAGCAGAGGTCAGACTGATATGTGTCCTGTTCTGGGAGGGCACCCATTAAAAGCATTACAAAAAGGCAGAACATTCAGCTGATTGAGTGAAACCTCACAATCAAATTACCTCAAACGTATATTGCGCGACTTCTGACTCACAACACCAAGAGCACTTTAGTATTATCATAATTTTTTTTTTAATTAGACATGACTGCTTTAGCAGAAAAGCTTTAATTACAAACACTTCAACGCTGATGTCATACACGCTGACAATAACACACACTGACACAAACATTCAACTCCATATATGTCCACTTTGCAGGATTCATTAGCTGCAAAATACTGCCAAATATAAATTGATTGCAAAATTCTCAAATGCAATAGGCTTGTAAGTCATAAATACAAAATGCTTATACTGCCTAAGGAAAAAGACTGCTTGTTTTAGTATTTGTTTAACTAAGCCAGTGTAGGAAGACATACATTCTTTGTATACAGACTGTTACAGAGGATTTCTATGTGAACTCTTAACTGTCTGTAGCAATTTCACACTTTTTTTTTTTTTTTACTAGTGACTTTTCATTTAATTGCAACAACACACATGCATCACTTTGAAGAAGACAAGCTCATTGGCTGATACTCAAAACAATCAGTTGTGACGAGGCTTCTTACGTTTTCCTACTCAGGTGTGAAATTATCTGGTAAGTAGAAAGTGTGTTTTATAAAATACTAGGAATTATATTCTTATTGTAAATTATTATCTGATTTAACTATATCTACTGGGGCTGTTGCTGCTACTGCTGTTACCTGTAATTACCAGCCCTTCATTTTTATTGAGTAATTATTGAGCATTTTTAAAAATTTGATTTTCATTGATGACAATATACCACCTACAATCCGGAGTTTAATCTAAGGTATTGTTCCTTTATTGTTTGTTAATCTAATCTATAAACTTTCATTCATTGCATCTGGGCAGGACTTCTCTTTTGATCCATGCACCACAGTGATTTGCAGCAGCTCAGTTAAAGCCTTGTGCAGTTGTGATTATTAAATATAATCCAAACATGTACATAGATATGCACTTGCTTGACAGATTATAATGTCACATGTTCTTACTGAGCAAAAATTATGGAACAGTCCTTAAAATGAGCACAGTGTACAATGTTTAAACCGTTTTGCTCACTGTTTAAACACAAAGAAGTGTGTTTTTCCTCTGGGCTTTGGCTGCATGCCCTCCATCCCAAAGAGCTCACACACAAACTAAAGTGTGTCTACGCGGGTCTGTACGTGTTAATATTCAGGACATGGCCTGGAGTCCAGCCTCTTTCAGACCAGGCAGGTGTCCAGACCTGATGCTCTGCCAATGATCAGATGCATCATCTTAACAAGTAAACCACTTCAGGGCGCTTATGATAATGAAATGTACATATGGAACCTAACATCAACAAGTCTGAGGTCTACTCTCCTTTGGTAAATGGCCTATAGCCCAGGCTCCAGGCTCAGTGAACGGACTTATTGTGAAATGTGATGTGACATAATTTTCAAGTTTTTACAATCACAAATTCAAATAATTGAAACATGCTCCACAGGTAAATGTCTTCAGTAACATTTTATAATTTAGACCTAACAAACTTCAAGGTTCTGTCAATTTACTTATTGTAAATTGTAGTCTACCTGTAAAAGCATAATAATCCTAATAATAACCATCACAATGATTATAATGTTCATAATACATTTATTAAATCGATTAATGAATATTTATTTATTCATTCATTTGCTTTTTTAGAGATTATTTATTTAATTTTTCATTTTTGTGTGTGTGTGTCTAAAATCTTGGAGCATTCCTCACCTTTCTAAGCAGCTTGAGCACTTCTGCGGCTTGCTCCAGCTTCTGTTCCCGGAGAAGCCTCTGTATGTCCCGGATCCACGCCACCCTCCTCACGTACGGGCTGTTCTTGCTTTTGCGCAGCATCCCTGGAAGCTTGTCGGACTTTAGCATCAGCGAGGTAAACAAGAAGTCCCCTCCGCTTTTAGTGGCGCTCTTCTCGGTGTCCGCGGACGTGTCATTCCGCTGGCGTCTCCTCCTGGACAATTTGGAGTCAAAATCGAGACTTCTCTGTCTTGTCAACTTGGAACCCATCACTCCGGCGCGAGGGGACGGGAGAGTGCTGGAGGAAACCGGTGTTCTTTTATGCACAACCAAAACATCCCAGTTTGCCTTGTAAACTTGAAGATGAGTTCAAAGACAAACGGCCACAGGACAACGTGGCTGAAAAGTTACAAAGCAACGAACAAGTGCCAGGCAACAACACAACAGTTGGTTACGTGCTGGTTGCAGTGTGCGTGCGCCGTGGCTGTGCCCTCCTCGTCTCCTTTCATGCAATGCTTGAGCTTTGTGCCATCCTCAGTGTACTCGGCGCTCATGCGCTCCTCAGCCAATCACAGCTGCGCTCTGTAAATCCCGAGAAGAGTCGTGCTGGAGACGACAGAGCTCAGAGAAACAGGTGGGAGACCTGTGTGACCTTGTAAATATCTTACACTTACCTTAACTTTAGCCTTGGTGCTTTAATATTGCCCGAAATAACCGTCAAACAAGGCCTGGTTGAAACTACAGATGGTTATAAATCAACACGCTCATATTTCTGGATACAACTCAAAATTAAGTTTTGTGTAGGCCTAAAGTTAGTTTCTCATATCCCTTTTCTAAAGCTGCTCAGGCTAGGCTAAAGAACGGTAGGTAGAAGTTATACGGGCTGAAATGATTTTGCCTCTCAAGTCATATCCATGCAGTTCAGTATTCTATAGTCCGTTCACAAATAATCACAGGCAAGAAATCAGTTGTTTGACATTCAAAACATAACATCACACAGTAGTCTAACTGATGTATAGTTGAACAGATCAATATTTGCGTATTTTATTTTCTGAAAAGGTTCTAAATTGCACTCACACAATGGTATTTTAACATAACACAAACTGATCATGCAGGCAGAATAATAAAATCACTTTCACACTTTCACTTGTTGGAAACATACTGAAGCAAAAATTCATGATTTTAGATAACATATCTTAAATACATCTCGGGTTGGAATAAGTTTCTCTTAAAAAGGCACATATAGAGATGCGGTGCAGCTAATGGGCCTCAGCATATCAAAACACAAACACGTTCTGTTTTCACAGCTGTGGTGATGTCGGATCCAAGACAGGCTCCACATTAATAAAAGGACACTTGGCATCCAGGAAATAGCTTTCGATAGAGGCTGTAGGGCATTTGATTGGATGCTTTGCTTGTCAACTCGCTAAACTATATTTTTCACACAGTGGAGCAAATGTCACTCTGTACCTGTGACTGCCCGTGCACCATTCCTCCTTGAACACCCACAAGGCATTTTAAACTCAGGTATATAGCTTACTTTGTTTTTTCTTTGGACCTCTGGAAAGGCAAAACTTCAAGGATACAGTCCAGTATGGGCAAACTCTGTAAGTATTTAACAGTATTCAACCAATAATGTATTTCATTCATTGTAATACACTGGTATAAACCTATAAACATTTATTAAACAACGTTTATTTGTGTATTAGTATACCCCATTTTGAATTCTCAGTGCTGTGCTCTCTAGCTTACCTAAATTTCTGACTCCACAGCTTTTGTCACTCTGGAGTTGCCTACTCCTCTCTTGTTGGCAGATGTGGTCTTCTTCCTGCAGCTAAAAGCATTCATCATCAAGGTAAGGTGTAATTTACATACTTATTGAATGGCACAAGGGAGAAAGTCAGAGATTACTTACAATTACTTAATTTAAAATCTTATAAAAGTAATTGGAAGACAGTAGTAACAATATCAATTTAATCTTAGTCTGACAATCTTAGTCTGATAATTTTTCATGCAATATGTCATCTATTGAGGAAGGGGCAGGTTAATGTTTTGTGACAAGCTTGTTTAAACTCTTCCATGACAAAAGGGCATGTCACTTTGCTGGTTAGTGAATTTAGGCACCTTTGAGGGTCACCAAATTGCTTGAAAAATGACCTGGTCAATTGTCAACAGATAGGTGATACTATTCATTTGATATTGTTCACAGCGGTAGGGTGTGTTCTTAATGTTAGTGGTAGTTAATGTTCATTGACTTTGCTGACAGCTGTGTATCATAAAGAGCTCTACAATCGACTCTGTCAGATAGTGGAAGGCAACTGCTCACATCAGCTCAGCATTCGAGAGACCAGGAGCAACCAAGGTAAAACATGAATATATTAACCAAATCTTGTGATCACTTCAACTATAATTAAGAAAACAACTGTGTTTTAGGGTTAGTATTTGTTTTTCCTGCGTAATACATTACAAGTTGTAACCATATAACAATTGAGACAAAGATTAATGGTCTGTTGTTAAAGACCCACTATGCAACTTTTTAGCCCAAAAATACATATGTATTTTCTTTTGGGATTTTTGCACCTTTGCACCTTCCACTGAGCTGGCCTTCACCTGCTTCTCTTCAAAGAAATTCTTCCATGGGATATTCCACAGCATGGCATAATGCTATGCCAAGTAGAAAGTGCTGAAGTATGGTTTTAACTTTACATTTCCATGGTGCAGATGATGTGCCAACTCCAGAAAGTGTTGCTTTAACCTATACTTCATTATATCTTAATGTGTAGATTTCTTTTGTTTTGTGTAGGCAACATTAGTCAGTCCACCATAATGTATTACGTAACAATAAACATATATTCTGACCTTTAGCTTTGTTAAAAAAATAAATAAATAAATGCATACAATAAATAAATAAATTGATAATTAAACTATATTTTAAAATAAGGCGTCTAGCTAATCTTAATTAGTTTTAAAGAAAATAAGTGGAATCTTTAAACATTTTGCCCCCTACAGTAGACTGTACTGAAGTGTAGCCATGAGTAAGAAGGTCATAGTGCTGGCTGTCCTACTGCTGGTGGTTGCCGTGGTGGCTACTTTCTTGGGGGTGTTGTACGGCGTTGAGAGATCTACAGGCGACTTCTACAAAGCGGCAGTGGCAGCAGATGCTGGCAAGTGCTCAGAGGTCGGCAGGTCAGACAGCTTTATTAATCATTTCAACATGAACTGGAAAGAAAAGAAATGTAAATTAGATGATCCATTTCTTCTCCACTAATGACTGTCATTTTTATATTTTGATCTTTAGGGATATTTTAAAGAAAGGTGGCTCTGCGGTAGATGGAACAATAGCTGCTTTGCTGTGTGTTGGGCTCATGAATGCTCACAGTATGGGTATTGGAGGAGGGCTATTCTTCACAATCTATGACGCAAAAACCGGTATAATTATTATACTGTTATACTTATTATATTTCTATTTGATTGACTATCATGATAATGCAATTTTAAGTAGTTGTAAATGGTTTAATTTTAGAATAATAAATCAGATTTCTTATATTCCTCACCTAGTTCAATTAATTCCTGACTCATATGAATGCCCTTTCTATTTTCTGTTCATCAGCTTCACTATTTGTCTCAACTGAACTAAACGTATAGAAAAGTTATATCACAGACTCAATTATGTAGCTAAAATGTTGGTTAATCTACAGGTAAAGTTGAAACCATCAATGCTAGAGAGATGGCGCCACGTAATGCGTCAGAGAACATGTTTGGCAACAGCACAGATCTATCACAGAAAGGTAATGTTTTACTTTTTTGATGGTATAAAGAAGCTAGTTAACATGTTTATACTCAGAGACCATTATCTTATCTGAGGTAGCTGAACAATGACGTAAAAAAAAAAGTGTGATTGGCAGGTGGGTTGTCCATAGCTGTGCCAGGGGAGATCAGAGGTTACCAGTTGGCACACCAGCGTTATGGTCAACTGCCCTGGCGAGATCTGTTTGAGCCGAGTATTAAGCTGGCAGAGGAGGGCTTTCCTTTGGGTCAGGCACTGGCCTCTGCTCTTAACAGCCACAGAAAAACCATCGTGGCAGATTCTGCCCTGTGGTGAGTGCTGCAACATTTAGTAATCCAGTGTCCACACAGCTTTTGGTTCTGACTTCAATTTGTTGTTTATTTCTTTCTCTAGTGAAGTGTTTTGTGGAGCAGATGGTGATGTTCTTCGGGAAAATGAAACTATTAGATTTCCGCGGCTTGCTCAAACATACCGGAAAATAGCAGAGGAAGGTCCTGATGTGTTTTATAAAGGACAGCTGGCAGAGGACCTGGTTTCGGACATTCAGAGGGCAGGTAGGTGTTTTTGGTCCAAGGAAGTAGATAAAATGAAATAAGAATGACAGTGGTGGCAGCTTTAACAGTATTGAAAAAGAGAGCAGACAGAGCAGCAGTATGTTAACAACTGATGATATAAGACCCCTGCATCCTGTCAGGTGGAATCTGTACTATTTGTATGGATTAGTGTGGGGACTGCTCAGGCATAGTTCTATTGTACTTTCACAGTAAAATGTTTGTGACATCATGCACAAGAAGACAAATCTGTTATACCAATTTTAATTACTTTTTCCCCCTTTAATTCTTAATTTTAGAAACAGTGCTGAGGGCCATACTAACATTATCAGCTCAAATATTGTAACCCCACACTGGGATAAAAAGGCATCAAACATCACTCATCTGAGCACATTTCATTTCCATTGCAAATGGGATTGTCTCTCCAGTTGTGTCCGTGTGTGTGTGTGTGTATTTAGGCGGCATCATCACAATGGAAGATCTGCAGGATTATGTGGCAGTCGTGGAGCAGCCTTTGAGGCTGAGTGTGGGGGAGTACACCATGGTTGTTCCCAACGCTCCTGCCAGCGGCCCTGTGCTCTCGCTGATATTAAACATCTTGAACGGTAAGTCCTGATGCTTTGTTGACCAAAACAGAGCCGAGTGGGAGAGAGCTGAAGTCTGAGCCAGTCATGGACAAAAGACTCCTCTGCGAGCAGCATGTTACTGTACTGAACATCTGTGCTTAAAATAAATACATCTATTGACCTGCAGTCACCCAGGAGAGCCATACACTTCTAAACATTTTCAGACATCAACAGTGTCAGCCCAAAATCAACCAATATTAAGGAATGATTATGCTGTCTGATGAGCAGTCTCTTTATAGCTACAGTATAAGCAATGCTCAGTTATGTGTTGTTGCTATACGACATATTTACTATTTTTGACATAGACTGCTTACTGTGACAATGAAACCACATCCGTCTGTGCTGTGTCTGTCTCGGAAGATTAAATGAGAAAGTTCCTTCAAAAGTCATTAATCTCTGACGAGCCGCCCCCTCCCCCCCGCCCCCGCCTCCCTGAATAAAACTACATTTACCTCTAATTGGACACAGTCGACTGGTGGAGGCTACACATTCATTTCAGTGACAACCCCAAACTTTCATTTGCACTGATATAGCGTGACTCTGCCCCTGGCCCTGCTGAAAACCATCAAACCAAACTCTTAGACCTCTGTCCTTCTGTCGGTTCAGGCTTTGCTATTACTCTGCAAACTTAATAAAACCCACAACTATCAGTGGTGGAAATCTGTAGTCAAGCAGAAGAATAGTTCCATGGCATAAAGGGCCCATATTACGCAATTTTTTCTGTTACAATGTGGTTTCCTCATCAAAAACATACCTTGAGTTGTGTTTTGTTTAATTGACATGTATATTAAATATACAAACCCTGCGTATTTAGTTCTCCTTTGAGTTCTACTCTCAAACAGAAATGACCTTATGATGTCATGTAGTGGTACAGGAAGTGCTCCCCTGTGTTTTTAGACTCTGTAAAGTAAGACGTTAGTAATTTTAGATTCAATCAGGGCAAGTGATGGTTGGAGTAATATGTGTAGAGGATATGTGTACACCAAAGATAGAGGTGAGGCAGCTGTGTCGATTTAGACAATTGGAACTTGTACTCAGTAACTCCTATAATCTAAAATGTTGCTGTACACACTTAAATGGTCAGAATTATTGTAAATTTCATGTTTCATATTATGGTATATTGTAACTGATCAAAAAATGTACTTAATGACACTAACATACTACTCTCTAGTCCTGCTTATCTACTCAAAAATGCAGTTATGTGTGTATTCTCCACAGGATACAACCTAACAACAAATAGCATGTCCAGTTTGGAAGAGAAGATACTCACTTATCACCGCATTGTGGAGGCATTCAAGTTTGCTTATGCGAAAAGGACATTACTGGGAGATCCCACCTTTTTAAACATTTCACAGGTAAGGACTGAAATTTTCACTTTATGCGTTCTAAATAACAAATAGTCTCACAGGGCAATCTGAATGTTAAAAAAAGAAGTCACCTATTAAAATAAAGCCATCAATAGAAGTAACCTTGGTTAAACCACTGTGTGAAGTAAAAACAAATCTCTTTCTCTCAGGTCATTCAGAACATGACGTCAGTCTGGTTTGCTGGAGAGCTCCGGAAAAAGATCACAGACAACACAACACATGACATGAAGTACTATGAGCCGGAATTTTACCTGCCTGAAAACTATGGCACCTCACATGTCTCTGTAGTGGCTGAAGATGGGAGCGCTGTAGCCGCCACTAGCACCATCAATCATTAGTATGTTTAATGTGTGATGTATTCAAAGAGTTTGCTCAGTCCTGCACCCTCATAATGACAATGTTTCACCACAGCCTGGGATCAAAGGTCCTGTCAAACTCCACTGGGATCGTGCTCAATAATGAGATGGACGACTTCAGCTCTCCATTCATAACTAATGGGTTTGGCGTCCCCCCTTCACCAAACAACTTCATCAAACCAGGTCAGGCTTAACAGAACACAACAAAGTAATTTTACAGTTTTTCATGGCAAACATTATAGTTTTGCTGACAACATAAATGTTTTTGCTGGCTTAAATTGACTGAATTAAAGAAAACAAAGTGTTTTTGAAAATTTAGTTTCATCCAAAAACAAACAGCTCAAAGAAAAGTATAGAACAGAGCATTTGTTATAGCTCTCGTTTAAAAACAGAAAATAAAATGAAAGTGAATACTATAAGGTAGGGATGTTTATTGAAGATGTATAATAAAGTGCACTGAAAGATTATGTTTATTTATTTATGTATTTTTTATTAATAGGCAAAAGGCCAATGTCTTCAATGTGTCCAACGCTGATTTTTGACAAAAACAACAAAGTTAAGATGGTAGTCGGTGGTTCAGGAGGTACCAAAATTACTACCTCCATTGCTCAGGTGAAATATGGTTTAAAATGGGACTTCTTTATTAGTCTTCTTAAAATTAACAATCAGCTTAACCACTTAAGCCTGTTTTCCGCTGTAGGTGATTCTGAATGCTCTGTTCTTTGGTTTTGACCTGAAGAAGTCAGTGGTGGATCCCAGGCTCCACAACCAGCTCAGCCCCAATACCACTGTCGCAGAGCCGGGCTTTGACCAGGTGAGTGAAACCAGTGCTAATCATGTGAGGGACAGACGCCAGGGGTATACTTCCCTTATGATCAGTCATTACAGTGAGTGGAGCCCAGAGGGGTACGCCTGTGCAAACTGTGCATACCTTGAATGTCCACACTTAATATAAATGGATGTCCCAAGTTACGCTTGGAGGGGCGTGACAGTGATAACTGATCAAACTGTTCACATCTTTACTGAGGGCAAAAATTATTCAAACCTGTTCTATCTGGCACTGGGTATGCATTGGACTTAGAGAAACACTGGGTCTACTTTCCCCCTCTCATCCTGGCACACACCCACAAGACAGTGCCCCCTTTAGGCTTATTTAAAATGTACATGTACAGTGAGATTTAAGCATGGAGCACCTTCTTCTCCCTGTATCACCCAAACCCCAGTCTCTTGGGTGCTCTATAAAACAAGTGCGCACATCCAATAGAAAGTCTATGTCTCTCACTCTCCTCTCAGGTGTGTCAGGTGCATCAGGTGTTAGTGTGTAGACTGAGTGGAGAGTCTGTCACCCACTTGGCTATGTGTACCTTCCCAAAAAACTTTAATTACATCACAAAACAACACTAGAGCTGAGGAGCAATTTGAGAAGGGGACTGTATACAAACCAGGGAAATCCTCAACTGAGCAGGCGGATCTGGGTGAGCGCATGTGTCAGCTTTGTCTAAAAGAGACTAAACTAAACCTTTTGTGGCATCTTTGAGAATTCATAAGAAATTAAGATCCTGATGAACTTTAAAAGAGAGGAAAACTTTCAATAAAGTGGCCCACTCAACAAAAAAAGGCTCTTTATTTTAAATATAAGCGTTCTCGTTCTCGTTCTGCTGAAAATTTCTTCTTTTGAACTTTGACCTATAGCACATATATTTTTAGCAACTTTTCCCTTGTCTGTTTCACTGTGTCAATATGTTAACTTGATACTGTTTGTATGTCCATGTTTTTTTTTTTTTTTTTAAATGTGGAGTTTTTTTGCATGTTTGATTGTTTGTTTTACAGTGTCAAACAAACTATGTAACTAATGCAACACCATACCAAAAGCCAGAGACAAACAACATGTCATGGTAACATAAAGCCACTAAGATACAAATAAAGTATAAAAAAGGATTAGGCCTAGACTATGGCTTAAACCTGATCTAACCACATGATGTTGTGCCAGACCAGAAACTCTCTCTCCAGCTGTTTACCTTTGTATGTTTACAGAAAATCCTGGATGGCTTGAATTTGAAAAACCACCCAACACAGAACTTGAAGTCCTCAGGGGCTGTGGTGCAAGCGGTGGTCCAGTACAAGGACGGTCTCCTCGCTCAGTCTGACCCCAGGAAGGGGGGATATGCAGCAGGCTACTAAGGTCACAGCTCCCTGATCACATGGAAAACGGAAGCTGTGCAAACACTGATTAAAGACTGATAAAGAACAGTCCTGTCTGTCTCATCTGACCCACACATGTTCTCTATTATCTACAGTCTGAAAACAGAACACCTCATTCCAACTTTGACCTGCTAAATTAAATCATTTTATTTCATGTCAGTGTGACTCTGGAGATACCTTGAGAACAATATTGGAAGATGTAGAACTTGTTATTGTTTAAAACTGTATACATCTTTTATTTATAAACTTTTTTTGTAAATCATTTTGTGATGGTCATTTATCTAACTTTCTCTTAGTTATGAAAACTCTGAGTTCACAGTTCAGGAATAAGAGATAGTGCATACCTGGCTTAAATGTTTTACAGCCTGATAGCGGCTCATGCTTTTGTTCTTTTTATGCTAGGCCAACCTTTAATGAGTGAACGATGCTACAGCTGTTACTGCACTCAAGCTTCTGCTGCTGTGTTGTAATCATGTTACATAATAATATTAATAATAACAGCAACAACAACAACAACAACAACAACAATAATAATAATAATAATAATAATAATAATTTAAGAGCTGTACCAAACCCTTTTTGTTTGATTTTTACTTTTTTAGCAAAAGTCAGCAAACACACTGTAATAACTGTGTTAAAATGGTGCCTTAAATTACAGTATGATTAGTAATAAGGGCAACTCTTTATTGCACCCATTTATAGTTTAATACTGTTACTTTTATGAATTTATGTGAGTCAGAGAGTGTAACTGGGACTATAAAACATCAAATCAAATCTTTGGATGCATTCGTAATTTCTCTTTATGATGTCACATTGAGATATGCAAACTGTAAATTAGTTATAAACATAAAGGCTCACAAAAAAGGATTCATCAAGACACTTTGTAGTTCAAAATGGAACCGCACTGGGCGACTCTAAACATTTCTAAGCCGCCTACACCAAGGAAATTGCCAGTGGAGACATTTTCCTCACAGTTCCTTTTTTCCCCTCAGCTTTTGAATGTTATTATTTGAGGGAATATCATGACAGTAAAGATCTCAACTTATGCTGATTCATCCATTTGTCACACAACCAGACAGTGGTACTTCGCTCAGGGGCTAATTTGCATGTTCTCATAACTCACATCTATCGCCTCAAAGGCAAACGGAGCAGAATCCACTTAAGGAGTCATTACTAATTCATAAGTCTTCAGCTCAAAATGTATCTTATTAGCGCTGCCATTGTCTCGGTGCTAAAGTGCTGCTTTGGAACAAGGAAAATGCCACCACACTCTTCAATGTGAAACAACATGGTGTTAATATTTAAAGAACCATGATTTATGGATTCACTTAAGAAAAGCTTCCTATGTGTTAAAGACGGGTAACATGAGAAAAAAATGTAAAAAGACAACATGATTCAGTTAAAAAATAAGTTCTATATTCAACACAATGACAAAAGTTACAAAAATATAGTTAATAAAGCAGCATAGTGTCAGTATAACAGTATAAATGCAATGGGACATTAGGGCTGCATTTCTAGTCAGAATAAAGCTGCCAGGAAACAGTGTCTTACATCAAAATTGACTCTGTATCTGTAGTACAAAAACTGATTATATATGTATATGTGTATGTATATATATATATATATATATATATATATATATATGACATACAGCAACTATAGGCTATTACTAGTCAGTTTACTTTAAATGCCATTTAAAAATATAAAAGAGAATATAAAAAGAGGTTTCAGACAAAGTAGAAGGTCTAAGACATAAGAAGCAATATAGAACACAACTGCTGCAATCTGGCATCACAGTAATTGGATCAGGGTGCTCCATCCTGTTCTCCACACTTTTGTTCATAAATGTGTGTTTTATATTAATTATATTAAGGCTAAATCAAATGACTCTTCCCTCTCAGTATCCCGCTGTCTCTCCAAACTTCCGACTGTCTGAGAAGGCAGAGATGCAGCCGCCCTCTCTCTCTCTCTCCACAGCATTGACCACATTGAGGAAGAATGGCCAATTCCCCACTTTGTGTCCGAGTGAGCGAAGGCCTTCAATAACAGACTAAACACAAACAATGGAATGAGCAAGACATTTTCACATGAAATACTGTCCTCATTGTATTACTCAGATTATGTCATAATGGAACTGGGCAATTCATCAACCCTTTATCAAGATCGAGATTCCGTCATGTATAATCACCAATGCTTGTGTTTTTTGTTTTATTTTAAATTAAGAGGTCTACATGTGTTTTGAAGCAGAATTCAGACTTGAGGAAATTTTGATTAAAAGCCAGTCTTGTTTATGTTCATGAGACAATACTGAAAGCCTATTTAATTGTGTATTTCAATAGAAGAATAAAAAAAAAAAAAAAACAATTATCGCGCTATCATTTCTTAGTATGAAGAATTCAAGGGCTCAGTCACTAATGAGAATAATCAGTCATATGTGTGGATTTACTTAATGTAAATGTCTTATGAAAATACAATAGAAACTGGTGGACAGTGGACAATAAACCAAAATAATGTGCTATTTTAAAACTATAAAAATGTTGACTGGATCATATTGGAGTGCCTCGGATCTCCTCTTTCAGCCAGTAAACAGTGGAACAATCTGATGTTGTAGTCCTTCAAACAATGGTACAAGAGATAGCTTTGGTCTTTTGTGGCTAATAAAATGGTCTTTTCACAATTGTCTGATACTTAAATCTCCACCAGTACATTTGAAGACACAATTAAGTACATTTCTGTTTTATTGCAAAAATATGTTCTGATTCTTATTGCTGAATATGGAGGCTATTGTTGTAGTAAAGGAGTAATAGAGTAATTGAGTAATATCAGTCATTATTTAGCATAATCTGCAATTATTCACCTCATCAAACCCAGGCTCAAAGTTGACATTGTTCTTTGAATCCACAAACACTATGGGAGCAGCGATAGCATCCTTCAGGCTCATTTTCAGCCACAAGCGGTTCATTATAGACTGTGGAACAATAGACTGTGAATAAACATAAGCACACAGACTAAGAACTAGAATGCTCAGTACTGACCAATGCCACTGCAGAGGTTATCATACTTCCTCCAGATCCACCAATCACAAGCAGCCCTCCAGACTTGGTCTCAAGGATGACTGGAGTCATTGACGAGGGAGGCTGCTCACCTACACCAACCAACACCAACATGTAACAGACAAATAAATTATAGAGTAATTCTATTATCCTTAAAAGTACACTATGTAACTTTTCTGGATGGAGTATGCCTCCCACTTGTCACAATTGAAATGTTTTTGCTTTACTTGGGATGTTCCACAGTATGAAAAATAAACAAATTTATCTTAAAAATGTCAAAAATGTCTTCAAAAATATGCACTCTCACTGTGAGTATAGCTGCTTCTCCACAGCTCTCCAGTAGCTTGGTCAGATCACATGCTTGTTTCCATGGAGATAGATAAGTTTAATGCCATACTGTGAAGCATTGTAGGCAAAACAATGACATCAAACAATCAAATTAAACAATCAAAATTAAGTCCTTCTTTTCAAGAAAAGACACCAGTTAATTCATGAAGTTATTAGCACAACCGCAGTACATTGGCAATTCAAAGGCCCTGGCACAAGTTTACCTGGCTTTATTACATCAGCTCTGTGACAGAAATCAGCCAGTTCATTGTTGAGGATGATACCAGTTTGTGGAGAATAAACAGCCCCCCCAAACCTAGGGCCACAGCAGAGATGCGGATTAGTGTGATCTCTGGGGACTCATGGGTAATAACAGAGGGTTGTCCTACACTTGGTTGATGGTGCTGGTGGCAGACACTGCTAGACCGTTCTCATCCAGCACAGAGACATGGGTGGTCCCAAAGTTGTCTGGCGGGGGTGTGACACTGGAGTAGATGGAGTTGTCGTGAGTCTGGTTAGAGATGAGATCTTTGATGTGGGCGATGAAGGAGGGGTCAGTTAGGTGAGCTGCACTCTGCAACACACATGTAAAATAACAAGGGAAATATAAGTTCTACTACATGTTACTCTAGGAGGTTAAAAAAACTTACACTGAAATATGATATGGTAATAAAACATGTTTTCATCAAGTGGATGAAAAACCTTGTGTACCAAAATTATATCAAATACAGACTTGACATCACTAATGCATTGACACTCCTAATCTAAAGCATTTCCTTTATAAGCAGAAGTTCCCTCAAAGAGATCAGGACTCAAAATCAGAGCCACATACAGTATATCGAGCCATATGCCAAAAACAGATCATGGTTATATGAAACGCCAAGCAACGCCTGCAAATTAATACCTGTAATATAGAGAGTTTATGTGCTTATTATTTCTCCCATCATACACTTACCTTCGCCTTATTAAACGGTGGATCACGGATAGCCTTTTTCTGTCCATTGGCAAATTTAGCTGCTTCTACATAACGATGGTACATCTGAATCTTTTGGTCTGCATCCAGGGACTTTGGGTTTGGTACAAATTCTTAAAGACAAATGACAGTGTCATTGTGCAGATTTTGACTTTTACAGTAATAAGGGTGTGTGTATTCATTATTGATGAGATACTGTCTGGTTCTTTGGGCTCAAGAGAAATTAGAACTCAGTGGGCAAACCTCTCATGAGCTGGAGTATAAAGGCGAGCAGAGGGCCCCCTGCTGGAGGAGGAGGTATGTGCATCACAGTATCCCCCAAAGGAACTTGGAGAGCATGGTCCACTCTGACCTTGAACCCTTTCAAATCTTCTAGGGTCAAAGTTCCTCCTGTCATAGAATAATAGTAATCTTGATATTGGTTTAAAGCAAGTATTATTCACAAACATGTGTTAGATGTTTAAAGTGCTTACAGTGCATACATTGTTAGACTACCTCTTTCACTAAAACATAGCTAACATATTTATTTTTAATATTTTGCAATTCATTTTGCATATTTTGACAATTTATTTTTCTTCCTGGTTAGATATGGGCTGCAGATGTAACATAAGTAGAGGTAATTCCATAACCATAACCATAAAGAGAATGTGAATTTATACCATAGTGACTATTTGACAATAAAAGAGATGATGTTTAAACTGACAGAAAAATGGGTTAATACCATTTGATTTTTGCCTGACAATATGTCATGAATACATGAATTTATGAATTTTTAGGGAGCCTATTACCATCTGGCAATAAAACTTGCCTTTTGGCTAATTTGGCTGTTATAATTAATTGTAATGTGTGTGTAACTAAATAAAATAAATAAAAATATATAAATGTCTCTATTCTAATCGATAAGGTTTTAGGACATGTGTACTCTGTGCATTTGAACTGACTGGTAAAACTATTATACATATTAACCACAAGCATTAGTTCACCAATCAAAGTAATTAGCAAAAAAATGAAAACCAACCTGTAGCACTGACATCTTCAATAAGGGCGCTTCCAATCTTGCCACTGTAAAAGGCCTCTGCCCCAGACTTACCAACCGTTTCCATGGTTTCAGCAAGTTTAGTGTACTTAAGAGTATCTCCTTTTTTCAAAACTGTCCTGTTTTTGTTGCAAAAAATGTCACTGCAAAACAAGATCACATGAAAACAATTATAATAAGTAAAGAATGCTACTAATGCCTTTTTGGCTTTACATGAAATATACTCATATATCCCTATTGATATATAGTTTGGTATTGCCATAGTTACTGACAAAAACACTTCAGTGGTCTTATTTAAAAGGGAAATGAAAGGAATGTTCCAGTGAGTGACAGAATTCCTTACCACAGAGATGTACTCTCCACTAAGTACCTAACCAGGGATGTATTAAGGAAGTTTGCCAAGTAATCAGGCAGGGGTATCCCCTCTCGGGCCAATTTCACAGAGGGCTCAAACAGCTTGTTCCAGGGCAGTCTCCCATACTGTTCGTGGAGCGTCTCATAGCCCCTCAGTTCTCCAGGCACACCAATCCACTGGCTGCCTGCACAAAGCACACAGAGGAGTACAATGACAACACCTCAGAGCAATCCCAAAGGTATATGTGACTGTTTACCTGAAGACAAGCTGAATGTTTTGGGGCAGTCCTCCAACAGGTTTCTTTTGTAAGACTGTGGAACAGTCTCTCGGAAGTTGTAAACTTTGACCTGTCCCTAACAAAAATATACAAGAGAGAACATTTTAGATTCTCTGTTATTTTCTAATCATTATGGGGATACTAGTGACATTTATTCTATTTTTGCAAATGGTTGTTAGAGCAGGTACAAAAACTTGGCTCTGATAGGGCTATATATCAGGGATGTATCATTTTTCTAATATGATTCCAAAGCTTCCAAGCTGAAGGGCATCTGCTCTATATGTCAAATCAACTTTCCTATACAATTTATGATTGTTATTATTTGGCAAGGACCTATAGGTCACATTGTAATTGATTGTTTTACTTAAAATTTATCTAAACTGTAGAAACTGTATATCTAATTCTATGTGAAAAAAAAGTGTGTTATATTTTGCATGCAATATATTATCATCAATATTATAATATTAGTTTCAAGTGTGTACTGCAGACTGACCAGATGTGTCTCTGATTGTGACGATAGAGCCTCCTCCTATCCCCATACTCTGCGGGTTGACCAAAGAGGTACAGAGAAGAGCTGCAATAGCGCCATCTACTGCCGATCCGCCTTGTTGCAGTATCTTCCTAGAAAACAAACATTTTCACAGAATTTCTTTGGCAAGTTAAAAGCGAATTAAAAATACCCCAAAATATATTTAAGAGCTGCTTAATCACACTCAAAAAAAATGTATTTTTTGCAACTGTATGTCTGCAACATACATAAGTAAAAGAAAAATAAATATAAAATACATATCAAAATATATATGCATTTAATTAATTAATGTATTACTTATTAATAATGTACTGACATTTAAATTCAGATCACTGTTTAGACACAGAATAAGAATAAGTTTGCACTATTTGTTTATATTGTGATTTTAATGTATTTCTTATTCTGTAAAGCAATTTGAATTACTTTGTGTATGAATTGTGCTATACAAATAAACTTGCCTTGCCACTATTTTGATTTAAGCAGAGTTCTTCTAACCATGTAAACCAGTGAGCAATTTTGCCAAACAGTTTCAGCCACTGAATGAAGCAGTCACTTGGCAGTGGCACAGTTCATTCTCTGAGCAACAACAACTTCTAGTGGGGGAATGTCATGAGAAGTGCTCAGCTCTGAGGAAGTGTAGGGCTCAGTCACAGCAGTGGCATTGTTCACATTCTTTCTTTAAAAAAAAGGTCTGATTTAACCTTTTACTATTCATGATGTGTCCCACAGCAACAAAAGGAATAAATAATAATAGCAATATTAAGAATGTATTGAATGTATACACTGCCTTTCAAGACCCTCAGAGCACTTTACTTTGCACTGTTCATTCATATGGTGGTGATAAGATACTATTTTTAGCCACTATTGCCTTTGGGTAGACTAACGGAAGCAAGTCTCCTAATCCTACTAATCTCATCCATTCACACACCACATTCATAATATAGGCAAGTTGGGTGAATTGTCCCAATGTAGCACATGGTACTCCCCAGGGTCTCCAGTATGAACCAGGCCCAACCATGCTTTGCTTCATATCAGATGAGACTGAATATTCTCTACCTGCGTGCCTCCATAGAGTTATGACTTTTATTCCACAGTATTTTATGACACATTTGTCTTTTTAATATTCAGTTGGGTTAGAACTCAAGAAGGTGGCAGATCCTTCAACAGAAAAGTTACATAGTTCAACTTTAATGGTCTGTGGTAAATTATTTATTTAAAGTCCAAACAAGTAACTTGCACAGGGCTGAAAAATATGAGTAGAGCGTCTCACGGTATTTCCTTTACAATGTATGAAATTAAACTTTAATCAGTAAGGGTCAAAGTTTGCACTCGAGTGAATATGAGATATAGTGAATTAGACTTGAATAAAGAGGGTGGAGGGTCTCTGTCATTGTGAAGAATAATGCTGAGCATGAACCTGGAAATGAACCTCAGAGTGTTTTTGGCAAGAGTTTACAGAGACTGTCCTCAAACAAAAACACAAGCCGGATGCGCTACTTTTGACAACAGCAGATGAGATGCTTAACGCATCTGATTTTGGAGACACAAGTGCCCGTACGATACCTTTGTCTTTCAAAAGCAGACGATCAAATCTCTTAAACTGATTAAAGTTATGCGCTCATCCATGTACAGGGAAGTTAAATAAATCAAGACTCTGCTTTGGTTAGGGACTTTAACTAATTGGTATTGCTATAGTTACTAAATGTTAATAACTATGAGCAGCATTTATAAATCTGTTACGAACTCAAAATGAAACACGTACTTGCCGATCTCAGAGCAGCGCCGCGAGTCCGCAGACACTGCCGCGAGCCTGTAGCTGCCGCTGGCACATCCCTTATCAAAGGACGCGAGGACGCACACACAAACCACCGTCACCACGCACAGCACCCCAGCGAAGACACAGCAGCGCACCAGCCATGGCCTCAATTGTGCCATGATGAAGGAAAAGTGCGCAAAGAACTAGAGAACAGGAGCGCTCACTTGGTCCAACGCTGCGCGATAATCCTGCGCGCACCGAACCATCATAACTTATTCTGTTAATCAAACGCATGCCTGAGCGCTCCAATTCCACCGACTCCCACGTACGGCTGTGACGCATTTCACAGGAAAAGTCTAAACTTTTTCAGGAAACTTAAACCCTTTAGAAAAGATTAAATAAAACAAACTATTTCCATTAGTTTCGCTTTCATGTTTTTTTTTTAAACATGACGAAACTGTGTTCCCAGATACGAGATAAACATAGCCTATTGTCTTATCTGATAACAGCTGCATGTTATAACTACAAAAACATTTTGATATGATAGCCAAATTGGTTATGTTATAATTAATCACTAATCATGCTAGTGCAGCCTCTGCAGCTCAATGAGTGAATTCTGGATGTTCTGAGCTTTCACATTAGCCATGATCCGTCCATACATATATAAAGAGAATGAGTCCTCTGAATGAGAAAATGTCCTCTGTCTGCAAGTTAATACATCTTTCCTCCAGGATTAATTTCGGTACTCCACATCAACAATCAAATGTAGTTTGTATAAAATTCTATGAGATGCAATTTCATAAAATCCTACCAAACCCATTCACATAAATCCATTTACGTTTGTGGACTAGTTATTTTATCTGCCAAACTGTACAGGCAGGAACGAACAAGACCTAGCATGTGACTTAAATCAGATAATAGACCTCAGATGAAGTCCAAATCTGATAATCCGTTTGATAACAGTCTGTTGTCATGCATGTTAAACTTGCAGCAATACAAGGCTACTGTAACAGACTGCTGATGTCCAGCTGCTCCATGTCCAATGTGGCAAACAGTCTTAACATGAGAAATGGTTTGCTTTGTCAGCACCTTGGTCAATAACCCAAAAAGAGAGGTGTGTGCAAGAGTTCATATCCAAACAAAGAACAGTGGGATGTCTGCAAGTAAATAGCCTAAGAACAGTGACCATTATATCACTGTGGGTCCCTGGTACCAGCTAGTGAATGGGTACGCACACTATTTGTCATAGCAGTCTGGACACAAGAGGGAATCAGTGTACAGACAGACCGTACAGGACTATACCTGCTATTACTATTACTATATCTATTACTCAGGCATTATGGCTTTTACCTGAACATTTTAATAATCGGCTATTCTCTAAGTCCATTGTTAATATCAGGATAATGTGTACAGATATATTTTTTTCTGTTGAAGTTTCAGTTGACTGGTGCCAGCCACAGAAACTATATGGTGTGCAATTACCTGGTGTAGGAGTTAGAAACAGACCGTTCACTCTCACACTAGGAGCAATTACAATTCACCTGGACAATGCATGACCCTGAACTATGTGAAGGAGACAGAGAGGACCCCCACAGGGAGAACAGGGCTGGCTCTGTAGTAGATCCGCACATTCTATCACAAGCCCAGCCTGATGTTCCATCAGGTTGAACCAGAACATACTGTCATTGTGGCCTTTGGCAAGACACTGTCTCCACCTGAGTGAGTTATCTGTCAGTGGGTGATTGGTGATGGTCTGAAGGGCCATAGTGTGCCACAGACTGCAAGGCACACATCAGTCAGTCTACCCCAAGCTCAGCTGAATAAGAAAAAGATAAGAAAATATAAATATAATAAGTATAAGTCTTAATGCTTAATGCAATTTTGATGATCTGGAAAAAAAAAAAAAAAAAAAAAACAGTATCAGTATCTAAGACTAAATTACTTTTATTACAGTTCTAAGTAATTATGCAGCACTTACGAGAAAAAATGCCATCTGTATAAAAGCACTTCTTTATTTGCCACATCTAAACAGCTGCCGTTACAACAGAGCTGTAAATAGAACACTTTGTCCAAAAACCCACATATGTTTAATTTAATTAATGCTATATTTGCATGACCGTTATACAAATCAGAGTGTATACAGAATGAACTAATGCAGGAGAATGTGGCTACTTCACCTTATGCTGTGCAAAGTCACGCCACATGGACACAAAGCCGGTGTACATTTTTCAAGGATACTGTCTGTAGGTCACTGTGCACCTATAAATAGTGCACAGTTATTATTCTGCCACCAATGCGTCATGCCCCTTCTCACCTGCCCATGCCAACCCCATGTTCACTCAAAATCACACTTCTGCTCCTGGAGTGCATCTCAGCATCCCTGTCCATTTAACATCTTATTTAGTACAGTCAGAGCAGTTATGAGCTACTTACATTATCAGACACATAATAAATAAATGACCAAAAAACCATCCTTTTTTCCTCCATTCCACTCAAACCAATAGGAACTACTGTCACTTATATGATGTGCTGGGACATAAGTAAATGTAAAAACATGATTGAGTGGGAAGAAATTAAGCAGTTTAAGCTCTAAAGGAATTAACAGCTCACCCAGCAGAGACTGATAAGAAATAAGCCACATCCTAAATTATGCTCATTTAAAATAGCAAGTTATATAATTTCTTGATACAATATGAGGTGAAATCTAAGCATTTTATAACTGTTTTCCCAGACACAAACACACAAAATATGGATTTTGTCTCTCAAAACAAGTTACATTCTCACTGATCCCTCCAGAGATAAAGTCCTTATGGAGTCTTTAAACTAGAGAAGAGCAAGACAGTGGTAACATTTAGGCGAATACTGCAGAGCAAAGCTACACTGACACACAAGTTGTAACATAGGAAAGTGTTGCACAATGGCCTCTGACGTACAAACAAACAAAAAAACTACAACTACAAAAAAGACAGATGGGGGAAGATCATTTGTTTTCAATTATGTACTAATACAGTGCACTATAGTAGCCACGCTTTTTTATCCCACCAATGTATGAATGAATAACATTAACAGGATGATTGAGTAGGATGCCTGCATTTCACATTATACCCCTTTGTTGTACTTAATAATTTACCCCTCCAATAAATGTTTGATATAAAACTGTGCAGAGAATCAGGGTCAGAGTAATGGAGCATATCAAGAAGCTAACTGACACTAAACAATGCACATACTGTTTAATGACTTTAGATTAACTTATAATACAATATAAATTATGATTACTCATATTCTGAGAAATGTAAAATAAGGTTGAAGAAATGATGGTCTCTCTATCACTGATCTACTTATTGATTTTTTCTTGTTTGAAGGGCAGAGTGAGTGAAGCTTGCTGTATCCACTATATTGCCACTAGGGTCCATTTAGTTGACAAGGCTGATACATTTAACCATTAACCCTCAATCTCACGTTCATTGTGGGGCTAATAGACATTTCTTCATGACTTTGGATGATCGGACATACCCGGACAATTCACAAAAATCCAAGGTAAAAAAGGTTAGACAAGAATTCTATCCCGGAAAGAAAGTTAGTTCCCTGTAGTCAAAAGATTGAACTCACAACCCAGCTATCTCTAACTATCTGAAGCTCACTGTAAGGACATTTTATTTACAGCTCTACAAATATTTATGCCCAGCTGCTTTTAACCAAATGATTCAATTTTGGACTGTTTTGAGCCGCACAGCAGCTGTGCGTTTGGCAGCACTTGACATCAAGGCTACTTTGTTACAAAAGTTTATTAACACCGGACAGACAGCAGTGTGTCAGGTCAGGTCAAAAATGAGCACTCTGTCCTGAAACAGAGTGCAACATTGAAAGACTAAGAATTTTATGGTGTTTTTAACATTTTAAAGCAGGAGTATGGTTATTCATTTACTTTTCTTATCTGATCTTAACTGAATTTTATTTGTATTTATACATTTGTTTATAACAGTGAAGTGGGTCACACTGAACCCCAAGGCCCATGGCCTCTGCTACATTTCTCTTTTTCTCTACAGACAGCCATAGAAACAGAGGGCACAAAACTAAAACGTCAAACTTCTCCACACATTAGCCACAAGGAAGTTTTAAATAGATGTTGTATATAATAAGGAAAGGTTCATGTTTTATGATTTGAAACAAAGCATCCAGACTATTATGTTTCAGGCATAAGCAGGGCAGTACTGACTTTGCTGAAAGGTCCTCCTGTAACCTTAGGCAATTTATGCTAAAAAACATTGGCTTGTTGAACACATTTGCTTATGTGGGTTGCATTCATTTGTTGTGTCTCTAACAGTGAAAGTTTAAAAATGGTTGCATAAAAGTGTGTAAATAAAATGGACCAACTGGTTTTCCCCATGGCACCCTGACTTCCCATGATGCAGTGCTTTCAGGATGGAGGTAAGAGGGCCCTTGTGCAGCAGGAGGGGGCAGTCCCTAGAGCAGAGGAGAAAGAGACACATATGTCACTGCGCCTGTCCCTAGAGACAGGAGCAAAAGTCTGTTCATTTTCTGCATTTGTGAGTGTAAGAGTATGCTGTAGCATGTTAGTATTCACAATCTGCATCCTGGGACATCTGCTCTGAGATGGGAGACTACTGTAGGCCAACCAAGGTTGTGAATGGCTCCTATATTGCCTTTCTGTACAAGGGTGTTTTTTTTATTCATATCTTGACAAAACCCAAGCAGGAGTCTGAAATTATTATTATTGTTACTACCAAATTTTCAACAAGAGAGTGTCAGGCCCGACTGTTTTTTTTTTTTTTTAAGCTAATAGTCCCAAGGCAGTTAATGAGTTAATGAGGCTGCTGAGTAAAATTGAAAGGTTATGTTACTATTCTTAGCTAAAGACCAACTGTGTGCCATCCTTATTCTGATGCTTTAATGACTTTAATACCTTTTATGCATTTATTTTTACATAATTTACTCAATAAATAAATAAATACATTTTTTAAAAGCCTCCGGTGCCAGCGAACAAAGTTGTTGAAAGTGGCCAGAGGCATTGACCGTAATGGCAAAATGGGCGCTAAACGAAATCTACTGCATGGGTGATGCTGTGTGCATAGAACTAAAAAAAATACTTTTGGAAACGCAGCTGTAGAAAGCCACTGGTATGTACTTAAATTTATTTTGTAAGAAGAGAATGCAATAACATTTTATGAGATACATTGCACAATAGTAACTGGTTGACCTGTTCTGATATTTCTGGCCAATAAGCAAATATTCATGA